TTGAAATGCATCTGGAAACCCGGGGCGGCCCTGCGCAGGGCTGTGAGGAACGTGGTCAGTCAGGCTCAGGGAAGGGGGTGTGTGCATGCGGGGAGGGGTGACCCGCCCAAGCCAATACTTGACCCCAATGGGGTGCCGCACGCACTTTGGGAGGGCTGAGCCTGCAGCAACACTCCTGCCCTGTCCAGAGCCCTTGCTAATGCTCCTGGGTGCCCTTGGCAGGGTTGGTGCCCTGCTCTGGCAGGAGCCACAGAAGCACCAGGCAGGTGCAGATCTTGGCTCCAGTGTCCAGGGAAGCAGGTACAGGTGTCTCTCCCTGGGAACAGGCGGCTCTGGCCTGTCTGTGGCAGTCTCGGTTCTGTGCCCTTCTGCAGCCACACAGGCAGAGATGCAGAGCCTGGTGAATCCTCACTGTGCAAGTTCCGAGCAGAGGCTGCAGGACAGAAGTGAGGCCCTGCCAATCACAGCAGTAGCGCTGCTGGGCAATTCTGGTCACTGAGCCAGTCCAGAGCTCCCAGGATGGCCTGGAGCCAGGGAGCCCTCTGAGCCAGGCCACTGCTGAGGCCCCAGGGAGGTCAGGAAAGGGAGAAGGGAGCTGGGGGCCCCTGCAGGATGGGGAGGGAACATTCAGAGCAGCAGGACTCATTAGAAGACATCTCTCTAAAGTCTCAAGCTTTACATTTGGCCATTCATTTTACTGTGCTATTTCCTTCGAGAAAGAAATTATTTTTATTTTTCCAGTGCTGAGGATGGAACCCAGGTCCTCTTGCATACTATGCAAACATACTGGCACAAAGATTCCTCCCAGGCCAAGAAAACTTTGTGTGTTTTTTTGGGTTTTTTTTTTGTGTGTGTGTGTGTGTGTGTGTGTGTGTGTGTGTGTGTGTGAGACAGGAACTCACTATGTAGCCCAGGCTGGTCTCGAACTCACAGCCATCCTCCTGCCTCAGCCTCCCAAGTGCTGGGATTACAGGCATGTGCCACCATACCCGGCCCAAGAAAACATTTTTGTTAACTAGCACTTAGCTATGGTTGCTGTACATTTATTTATTTTTTTAGGTACTGGTGATGGAACTCGGGACCTTGCATTTGTGTGACAGGTGGCGGTACCACTGGCCCCATTTTTTTTTTTTTTGGTATCGGGCATCGAACTTGGGTCCTTGTGCTTGCGAGGTAGGCAGCAGAACATCTTAGCTAAATCCCTGGCCTCATCTTTTATTTTTTCAAGACATAGTCTATGTAATTCATGCTGGCCTTGAATTCACTATGTAGCAAAGCTGACCTCAAACTTGTGGCAATCCTCCTGCCTCAGCCTCCCAAGTGCTGCCACCACACCTAACTTACTGTGTTTTCTAAGGGGAGTTGCTTCAATTGAAAATTAAGAGTATAAGTAAAGCCAGGCATGGCGGCCACCTGAAATTCCAACATTCAGGAGGCTAAAGCAGGAAGATCGGAGTTCAAAGCCAGCTTGGGCTATGTTATGGTTTGTGTCTAGATGTATGTGGAGGAGGTGGGACTTTTTCCAAGGTGGCTGAATTTGGAAGGTGTGATGGTAGGGTTAAGGGCGTGTGCTTACCAAACCATACCAAATGATCACAGGGCCGGGGATTTAGTTCAGTAGTTCTGCTGCCTGCCTTATAAGCACAAAGACCTGAGTTCCATCCTTGCTGCCAAAAGACAAAACAAAACAAAAAACCACTACATGTGAATGAGTAGTTTGGCACCACCTTAATCCCCAGTAGTGTGAATAAAAGGGGCAGAAAGCTGCTGTTAAACTCCCTTGTTGCCTTTGCTTCCCTGTGGGCCACGTTGTTTCTCCTCTGATGCCTGTTTGCCATCCACCCTGCCTATGGACTGAAACCTCTAGGAGCTGAGAGCCAAATAAACCCCTTCCCCTCTAACTTCGGGTGTCAGGTATTTTGTCTAAGCAACGAGGAAAAAGTAACTAACACAGGCTACATACCTCCATCACCCCCTACACAAAACAGGTACAATTAAACTGGATAAAGATGTAGTTTTTCTATAAAATGGAATACTACTCAGCCATAAAAAAATGAGAAATTAGAGTCATTCATAGGAAAATAGATACATTTTGAGGATATACTCCTAAGTGAAATAAATAAGTTACACGTGTAAATAATGAATAGCTTCTCTGGTGTGAAAAACTATAATAGTACATAAGATCCAGTGAGATAATTAACAATGTGAAATAGGAAGAAAAGGGCTAAAGGTGTAGGGAAAGTGGGAAGGGTAGGGGAAAGGGAATAAGGGAAAATTTTTAAAAATGAAAAAATGTAAATAAAGTGTTTGTAAATGGGGACGGGAGGAGAGGGTGAAGGGAAGGGACAAGAGGGGAAAATGAGAACCAAGACCTGTCATGTGAAGGTACAAGATCCCAATAATGAATGTAACTGTACCGTATACCTAAAATGTACCAATATACTCAATTTTTTTAAAAAGGTACAATTAAAACATGAACATCATGTCAGTTGATTCCATAAACTATTCTGGTGGGTTCTTCATTTGGCTGCTGTTTTTTCACTTACCCCAAATCCTGCTAGTGTGCGTGTGTGTGAACAATAAACTGCACAGCCCACACCCAGCACATAGCAGGTGTTACGGGTCCCCGGATCGATGACGGCATAGGCTTCTGGTCACTCCTGTGCTGTTGCTTCCTTCAAATGCCAAGGCAGTCAGTCTGGAGGTGCAGCCAGACCCCATGCAGAAAGGAATACTGTTTCCCAGGATGGAGGCAGACTCGTGGACCTCTATAAAACTGGTTTCTCCGGGGATTTAGCTCAGTGGTTTTGCTGCCTGCCTCACAAACACAAGCACCAGAGTTCGATACCCAGTACAAAAAACAAAAAAATACACCCCCCGCAAAACGCCACAGGTTTCAGAAAGAAACTGAAGCACTTCAGCACAAAATTCAGAAGGGATAGGTTAAAAGGCAATTGATATAAAAACAAGGATAGGTGTGGTGGCAGACACCTGCAATCCCTGCTACTTGGGAGGCTCATGCAGGATGATCGCTAGCTTAATTAATGCCAGCTTGGCAACTTAGTGAGGCCATCTCAAAATAGAACATTGTGGGCTGGGGATTTAGCACAATGGTTCTGCCACCTGCCTCAAAAGTACAAGAACCCAAGTTTGATCCTGGGTACCAAAAATAAAACTTTTAAAAAGGGGTAGGCCGGGGATTTAGCTCAGTGGTTCCGCCGCCTGCCTTGCAAGCACAAGGACCTGAGTTCAATCCCTGGTACCCAAAAAATAAAAATAAAAAGGGTGTAGGTCAGGCGTGGTAGCACACCCCTGTAATCCCAGCACTAGGGAGGCTGAGGCAGGAGGATCACCATTAGTTCCAGGCCAGCCTGAACTACATATTGAGATCCTATCTCAAAAAAAAAAATAAAAAAATAAAAGTGTAAGCACGTTTCATGTGTGCACATGTGTATGTGTAGCTCACTTGCCAGCATGTGTGGAGCCATAGGTTGAATCCCAGCACAACCACAAGGAAAACAAGTGATACGGGCATGAGAGGAACCTAACAAGGCTTGGGAAATCCAGCAGGCCAGGGAGGGCTCCTTCTTGGGCTGTACTCACAGAGGCTTGGCTAAATTTTAACTTCAAAATGTCAGCAAAATATAGCTATTTTTATATTGCTGCTCTTAAACACGAAGCTGAGCCACACCATTCCCCACTGACTGCCTGTTAACCAGACCACGCAGTCCGGGCCACGCTCAGAACCACAGGTGTTAACCTGGCCCTTGGCACTGTCCCTGTCCTCCACTGGTGCTGGGTGGCAGCCATGGACATCTGGACTTGGGACAGTAGTCTCTGCAGAGGAAGTCCCCAAAGGGCTGCTGGAAGACAGCCTTGCCACAGGACCAACACAGGACTCCAGGGGCTTGGTCCTGAGTGGGCACCATGAGTGGGGCTGGCTGAGACGTCTGGAGCACAGAGGTGGGGCCCGTAGGTCTTCCTGGAAGATGCTACCTCAGGTCCTGCAAGGTGTGTCCAGTCTCAGGCAGAGAGGATGGGGCTGGAGGCAGACAGACCTCTGTGTGTCTGAGGAGGCTGAGGCAGGAGGACTGCAAGTTCAAGGCCATCCCGGGCAACTCAGTGACTCTACTCAAAATGAAAGGGGTGAGGGTGCAGCACAGTGGTAGAATGGACCTAGGTCCCATCCCTAGTGCTGTTAAAGGCGGAAGGGGGAGGGGAAAGGGCTGCACAGAATAGACGCCCTGCTGTCACTGACGTGAGACAGGCTGGGAGCCCCCATTTCCAAGGGGCACACTGGTTCCTTTTCTGGGTAACTCTCAGCACTAGAACAGTGTCCCCAACACAACAGAGGAGGACAGTCGACAGCATTTACTTGTTGGTACTGGGGATGGAACCCTTCCTTGCATTTCAGGACAACTGTGCCCTGGTCAGGACCCCAACACCTTACCACTACTTCATCACAGGGCAGGTGGTCACAAGGCAGCCTGCTTCCAAATCACTCCCGTCACTCTGGTCCAGATTTGCCGCTTGAGTTAATGAGGATGGAACCCAGGGCCTCACGCACCCTGGGCAAATGCTCTACCCCTGACCTATACCTCAGCCCTTTATATAATCTTTTTTATTTTGAGACAGGGTCTCCCTACGTAGCCCAGGCTGGCATCAAATTCGTGGCAATCCTCCTGCCTCAGCCTCCTGAGTGCTGGGATTACAGGTATACACTACCATACTCGGCTTATAGAATTTTTTAAATTGTGCAGGCTGGCTTTGAATTTGTGATCCTCTTGCCTTCTTCTCTTGAAGACCTGGAATTACAGGAATGCACTACTGCACCTCGCTGGATTTTTTCAAGTGAAATTTTGTGAATATCTTCACACAGTGCAGGGGATTTAGCTCAGTGGTTCTGCCACCTGTCTCGCAAGCTCAAAGTCCCAAGTTCGATCTCTGGTACCAAAAAAGAAACTTGGAAAAAAACAAAAAAACTTTCTCATAATATTTTCACACTATTGTATTTTGATTTGGTGTGACTCAAACACAGAAGGGAGGCATACAGAGGTTGAGCTTTATTTAACAGCACACCTATGACAACCAGCCAGCTGGCAACCCAATCAGGTGGGAGCAGGGGGCCTGCCCGAGAACTGGGACTCGGCCACTCACAGGTCCTCAGGAGTGGCGCCCAGCCTGGCGGGTCAGGTCTGGGCCAGGGCGGCCTAACTGCTCCTCTTCTTTGGCTTCTGTCTCAGCTTGTTCCACATCCTCTCCAGGACCACTCTGCCCATGAAGAAGGTGATGGTAAAATTACGCCTGTACCAGTCTCTGTAGGGACACAGGACAGAGTGTGGCACACAGCTCCCACCCTCCATCTGTCCCTCCCACGGGCAGAGAGAGCAGCTTCCTGCACAGACTCCAGGGAGTGGAGCTAGACCCACAACCTGCAGGCTCCCCAGGGAGCAAGGATGCCCCTTGGCCCCACCTCGGCCCCAGAAGCTACGAGGCAGAGCCACTGCCAGCACCCTCTTCAGGTGAAAGTTCTGGGGCAATCCGGCTCCACGCAGCTTCCACACAGGGCCCCCACCCACGGGGCTATCAGCAGACGCTGCCTCCGTGGACAGCATCAGGGTGACCGGGCAAAGCCCTGGCAGGTGGAAAGCAGGCACAGCTTGGTGGAGGGGGCTGGGCCACACCGCCCCTGTGCCAGGCACACACACACACCTGCCTACAGGGTTGGGCACACTTGTGGCTCTGCACTCTTGTGTTCAGAGCACCCCGGAAAGCTGCACACCCAAGACATGCTGTCCAGGACAATCCCTGACAGCGCGGTCCTTTTTAAAAACATGATCAAGGGCCAGGGATTTAGCTCAGTGGTGCCGCCGCATGCCTCGCAAGTGCAAGGGATCCAGAGTTCATTCCCTGGTACCAAAAGAAAAGATCACGTTGGGCATGGTGGTCACACCGCAATCCCAGCACTTGGGAGACTGAAGTGGGAAGGTCACAAGTTCAAGGCCAGGCTGGGCTGCATAGCAAGACCCTGACTCACAGAAGCAATAACAGGACAATGAACAAGCTTAGGAATATAATGCAGTGTACAGTCTCTAGGCAATGTTCTCTGCCCAAATGTATTCATCAGGACCCAAACCCAGTCTAGGCCCGACACCACGTCTCCTCCACTACTCCAGCTACACTGAAGAGACTGTGGCATCCATAGAATTTCCAACATTCTGAGTTTGGCTGAGGCATCTTCAGGAGCCCATTTCAAACACCCATCCACCCCTCTACCTTTCCCCTGTGCACTGGTGCTTTGACACGGAGCCCTGGCCATGCTGAAACATCACCTTCTATGAGAACACCTGACCCAGTGCCACAGCACTGCCCCAGGGGCATGTCCCGACTGTCCTACTCCATCCCTCTTGGCTTTCCTAACTGCAGCCCAGACCCGCTCTTGTGTCAGGAAAATGGTGCCCCCTAATCCACCACCCTTCCTGTGGTTGCCTGGGATTACTGTCTGGCAGGAAGGCTGTGTGTTCTCTGGGGTTTCCTTCCACCCATCAATCTTCAGGACTTGGCAGCACAGAGCAAATGTTTTCACCCCCAGGTCTGGTCCCCAACAGGCTGGAGCCCAGGTATCCTCCTTCTGCACTGTTCCCAGCCACAAACAGACCTCTCCAAGGAAGAGCACCACGCCCCACCCACGCCATGCAAATAGCCCGAAGCCAATCAGATTCATTTAGAAATGCAAAGGTGACACTGATAAAATCACTGCAGCTTCTAACTGATATAAGTAAGCACCAACCTGTTCGATTCAGGTAAGGAAACAAAATGGATGTGGTGTTAGAACTTTTAGGAAAGAAATACGTACCTGTTATAATACATGTGCTTCTGAAAATTTTTACTTAAAAATTCCTTGTAAAAGTCAGCCATTTCTTCTGCACTCAATGTTGTTTTTTGACCTGAAAGTAAATTTCAATGTCAACATTAAGAATAAAGGAGAAGGGCTAGGGATTTAGCTCAGCGGTTCGGTGGCCTGCCTTGCAAGCGCAAGGACCCGAGTTCAATCCCTGGTACCAAAAAAAACCCAAAGCCAAACCAAACCAAACAAAAAAAGAATAAAGGAGAAGGGCCAGGGATTTAGCTCAGTGGTTCCTCCCCCTGCATGGCAAGCACAAGGACCTGAATTCTATCCCCAGTACCAAAAAAAGAAGAATAAAGGAGAAGGGGCTGGGGATTTAGTTCAGTGGTGTCACTACCTGCCTGGCAAGTGCAAGGTCCCGAGTTCGATCCCTGGTACCAGGGAAAAAAAAAAAAAAAAAAGGCAACAAAGGAGATGGGATAAATAAAAACCATTAGAGCTAGCGTTGGTGATTTAGCTCAGTGGCACCACACCTGCCGGGCAAGCGTAAGGTCCTGAGTTCAATCCCTGTTACCAAAAAAACCCACAAAAAACTCAAAAAAACTATTAGAGCTAATAAATTCATCAAGTTGCAAAATACAAGATCATATTTCTACAGATTAGCAATAAATAATCTGACACGAAGCTAAGAAAAAATTCCATGTGCTGTAGGATAAAAAGTAATAGACATAAGAATAAATTTGATGCTGGGCACTGTGGCATATACATAATTCCAGCACTCTGGGACTAAGGCAGAAGGATCACAAATTTGAGCCCAGCCGGGGTAGTGACTCAATATCTCAAAACTTAAAGAAGGGCTAAAAATGTAGCTCAATGTGAAGGTCCTGGGTTTAATCCCCAGTATTACAAAAACAAACAAATAAATATTAATTAATTAATTAATTACAAAAATAATTAATCTGAGCTGGGTATAGTGTCCCAGGCTTGTAATCCCAGCACTCAGGAGGCTAGGGCAGGAAGATCTCAAGTTTGGGGCCAGCCTGGAAAAGTTATCAAGACCTGTCTCAAAATAAAAAATAAAAACAACAGGGGGCTGGGGATTTGGCTCAGTGGTTCTGCCACCTGCCTCACAAGCATAAGGTTCTGAGTTTGATCCCTGG